GTGGGGTTTACCCCTTCAGTGTTTATGATTAAAGAAGATAAAATAGTTTAAGGCCATGTCATGATAATATTTTAGACAAATTATAAAAAACATGAAAATTTGGTCTCTCATGCTGACGATGGCTCTTGTCTGAAAAAACTCCTGCTCAAATATCCCGATATATTCTTGTAGACAGTAAGTTATGTATAAGCTAGGCACAAGTTATAGATAAGTTATTCATTGGTCAGATGAGGCTTCCAACTGATTTTTTATTCCATCTTCAGCATTTCCCAAGTTCTCTTAAACCAGTGGTCCTTAACCTTTTTTGAGGTACCAAACCCACCAGTTTCGTATGCGCATTCACTGAACCCTTTTTAGTGATAAATAAAATATGATTTGTTTTTTTCCAAATTCAAGACAAAGGTATATGTTTTTTTACTTGTGTATAAAATGAGCCGTGCATGAACATCACCTTGCTCAAAGAACAAAACCAACACAGTGCATGAACTCACAACAAATTACAGTATGACTTTATTCTGGCCTAAAAAATATTTTGGCCCCCCAAAACTATTTTTTTACTGTTTTACTAATAAAATATAAATTAGGATTTTTTTGAAGAATTTAACATTTCTAGTAACTTTTTTAATTTTAAAGTTAATTAGTTTTTTTGTCGTTTTGAATCCCCAAAATACTTTTTTGGGGCCAGCACTGATTGGCCAAGCAATCTCACGTGATCTGCAGCAAGTGATGGCCAAGCGGGGCGTGTCATCATGACTTTACACAAGTGTGTCTTTACCTCCGTGGCAGAGGCTCCGCCAAACCCGAGACCGGCTCATCGAATCCCTAAGGTTCGATAGAACCCAGGTTAAGAACCACTGTCTTAAACGTTATAGTGCGACAGGGTTTTTAGCTTGATAATCAATTCACAAACTGTTTTAAGTGGATTCTTTCCAAAGAGAATTAAATGCCTAACATTCCTTGAAAATATACATATCACCCATTGTCTTTTATGCCAGAGTATTAGATTAAGATCATTATATGATGAGAAATGAGTAATGAGACGGCGCTGTGAGTATGAGTAAAGAACAATAACGTCAAACTCCATGTCTGTAAAGCTGAGTTTTATGTTTGATAAGGTTGCTTAGCTGAGTGGCTATTAGGGGTGTAAGAAAATATCGATACACTGAAATATCGCGATATTTCATTTCCCGATACTGTATCGATATTCCAAAGCCCTGTATCGATTTTTAATTAAGGTTTAAAATGTCAACCTTCTTGCCAACCGTTCATTTTTATGTTGTAGTTCAGCCTCTGGCCACTAGTTGGCAGCAGTGAGCCAGCCATTTGGCTCCTCTACCTCTTGAGCGCCAGAGAGTAAGGGTAGCATTAGCATTATAAGTAAACATTAGCTTTCCTTTTTTTTCCCCAGGTTTTTATTTAATAGAATTTTTGGACAAAAAAATCGCAATATATCGCAATAAATTGCCTTGTTTACAGTATCGCAATATATCGGGATATATTGTATCGTTACCCCTCTGTTATGATATGTATCGTATCGCCAAATTCTTGCCAATACACAGCCCTAGTGGCTATGTTGATTTAGATTGACTCCAAAGGTTTTCATGCAGTTTAAAGTTTAGAAGTACTCTTCAGTTATTCATTTTTAAAGCTCTGAAGACAGCAAGCAAAATGTCTTCAACTCCAGACGACTCCAAAAGTTAATTAGTTGTAGATGTACTTTCTTCTTCTTTGCTAATGATTAACCCATTTAATCCCAAAATTCCCCCTGCAAAATAACTGCATGCAATTCATTCCTTAGACCTCTCTTAGACATAATATTTATGATTTTTTTCATTTTTTGTTGAATGTGTTAGTGAAAATGTAGGTTTTGTACTCGGCAACAATTGTTGCCGGTGGGAAACAGCGTAGTCTAAACTGACACAAATCTTTTATTCTAACCTATTACATACATGAAAAATATAAATAACAATAACATGCATAACATGTTATAACAAGGCATGGGTACAAGTTTAACAGTAGGAATGACTGTGATGTAGCACAGTGTTTTTCAAAGTGGGGGCCACGGCCCCCGGGGGGTCGCCAGGGAGCATTATGGGGTCCTCAGAAAGCTGGAGGGGATYAMYWGYGGAAAAAAGGCAAAAACCTAAAATTTAAATCTAATGWATATTTTWAATTATCATYAAATTMAATCWGTTTTTCAKTCATTATTTGAAAATATAATTTATAAAAATATATTGAAATGTTATTTAGGAGAGCAGTTTGATTCCTTTTGTTCTGTTCTTATCGTCAACAGCTGTTTGTCAGTGGGATTTTAACAGTGTTTAGACATTTTACCTAATAAAATTTTTTAATGTTATATTTTGTAAAAGTGATTTAAACAACATTTTACATATTTTGTGGCATTGTTTGTAGATTTGCATAGGGGGTCCCCAGCCAAATGCTTATGCTGTTTGGGGGGCTATAGCATTGAAAAGTTTGGGACCACCTGATGTAACATACATCATTTTGGGGTTCTTTCAGGTCTAAAATATCTTGCTGGTGGGATTAAACTGGTTAAACTCTCAAAAGTTGTCAAAATCTCTACAGTTTGAGATATTTTTCTAACAGTAAATACACAGGTCAATATTGGCCTTTCACTTAAGGAAGAGGGGGATTAAAAAAAATCATAATTAAACAAATTATTTTGGAGTGAAACCAAAACAAAGCTCTGTTTGGGACCAGAGCCACTGAGCATTTTACAGCAGGAACGGTTTGACTTAAACAGAGCTGATCTGCAGAGCGGCACGGAAAGCCCAGGCCCATAACTGTGGAGTCTTGTTTTGCTTTCATCAACCTCTCATAAAACAGGAATGTCAGACATACGGCCCGAGTTATAAAAATAATTTAAACCTGACTGCGATTCGGTGCGACGCGAAAACGTTACTCATCACTGTAAAACCGAGCATTAGCCAGCTTATCACACGATTACATCAAGACTGGCAAGAACACCACAGAGCCTCGTGAAAGCTGAGGAGGAACAAGCTTTGCTCGCTCAGTTGGAAAGTGAGGTCACTGGAGGAAAAAAAAACCAGACAAAAACTCTACCAAGGCTTGTGACCTCCAGTTGTGTTGAACTCTTTAAAACCCAGCCAGACGTTTGGTTTATGCATGTGCTCGCTGTGTGTCCACGTAGCGTGAGAAAAGAGGAAGCACACCAAACTTTCTGTATGGAAGCCCTGAAAAGACTTCTGCAGCACCCCTTTGCACACGCACACATTTGTTTACATCTGTGAAATACTTGTGTGTTGCTCTGGCAACCTTCCCGATCATTAGTCCTTTTCTTTGTCGGGCCTCCAGCTTCCAACAGGTCTGGCCTCTGTCACATAAACACAGCGAGAAAAGAAGATCCGCTGCGAGCTGCAGCGCCGACTGCGCTGCACTGCGAGCCGGCCTGCCGCTGACCGAGAGGAGCGAGGTCACAGGAGGACGCTCGTCCACGAGCAACAGAAAGAAAGTAAGAAACTGTTTTGCAGAGGAACTGGGGAGGCCATAAAATGATACAGCAAGTGAGGCGTGAAAGAAAAAAAAAGGACCAAAAGAAGAAAATAATGTCCGTGAAAAGCACCTGGAGCACTTCTCTAATACTTGTGGGATGTTCAGTTTCCCTGTGAAAATTGTGAAATAATCCTCAACACTGAGTTAGTTGAGGATTCTAAAACCTGTCACAGCAAGTGGCCGAGTAAAGAGGCCCTTTATGTAACACAGTGGAATTTAATCCCTCGGTTGGAGGTGTGGAAGTAAAAAAAAAAAAAAGAGGCATGATTGAAGAGAAGCAGAGAAATATTAGATTTTGAGGATTTAACAGGATGAAGAGGTCAAATGCTCTTTAGTTATGTGAATGTAGCAGTTTTCCTGTTTGTTTGCAGGAACTACTTTGCATCCTTTCTGCTATTTTAGTCAAACATTGATCAAAGCGGTCAGCTCATTCAGGACACGGATGTTATGGCTTTTGGTAACTTGCACGGCATTTTAAAAATTACTTTACTTACAAATGTTTCCCCCAAAGGAACATAATGAGATCTCATTTCCTTAAAGAGGCAATATCATGTAAAATCAACTTTTTTGAGCTTTACATCATGTTATAATGTTATACTCTCATAAAAAACATGCCCAAAGCCTTGCTCTGACTCATTCATGAATGTTTGAGAAATCCTGCAGTGTTTTTATGAAGCCATGCTGAGGAGCAAAACGACAGGTGGGGACCAGAAACACCTTTTAGGACCAGAAACACCTCTGGGACGTGTCTTTAAGCTGAACTTCCTCATGGCAGAGCGCACCCCCTCCCCCCTCCCCTCGCACATGACTCTTGCAGGCTCTCGGGTGAAAGTGAAAGTGAAACCTAACTGTCTGCTGAGCTCTCAACATTAGTTCTCACTCAGTGAAGCTCTTTTCAGATTAAAAATACCTTTGAGGAAATGTATTTTCAGATGCCAAGTAAACTGCATCATGGCAGCCCCCCACTCCCCTGCGAGCACGATCCCCCCAAACCCTCCACACTGAAATGGGCGAGACAGAAGTGAAGGTGGTTCTTAAAGAAACAGAGGCCAATTTCAAGGTGTTTAGAAGAGGAAGTGATGAGAAGATTAGTTTATTTTCTATTTAAACATAAAAACAGCATTTTAATAACAACTAAAGGTGACATAGATACTTTATTATGGTATAGTATTTAAATATATGCCAGAGAAACACATAATATTGGCCCTTTAAAAACTCCACTGTTTTCTTTGAAAATTTTCTGCAACCTGTTAATTGGCCTTTTGCTACATTTAGCTTTTATCTACCGTTAGTTTATTTTTCTTTACATTTACTGTTTAGCTTTAGCTTCTACAGCAAACATCAGTCATTTAACACTCAAAATAATAAAACTCATTATCACACTTTTTTTTTTGCAGAAATGCAGTTTCTAATAGTAAAATGTATTTCTCTGTGTTGGTGGTTTGAAAAAAAAGAAAAACACTTACTTGGGCAGCATTTTTAACTGGTTCTCTCTAAGTTCAAGGATCTGTAGCTTTGTCAACCTGCAACAAGGAAATTACATTTTTAGCGCACTGTATTTACGGTTTTCCTCTAAAATAAATAGATCTAATCAGTCCTCAAGAGGCTGAATGACAGTTGGACACCCGAGGTACAGTTTGAGGTTTTGCATTCTATAAACGGATGAGGTTAATGACAGGTGATCAGGGTGTACAAAAAGATCCCAGAAATTTGCAGGGGGTTACGTTCTTAGAGCATCTGCAAATTGTGAAAAAAGGGTGCTTGAGTTTGCATTTGGTTCATTAATTTTTACCGTAGATAAATATTATAAGAGTAAACCCAGGTACAGTACTGTTAAGTGAACGAACTCAGGATTAGGAGTAAAAGACACAAACTAAATTTTTGGTAACCATCATGGCCTGACTGCACAGCCTGAACCTGAGCATTCCTGAATATAAGGTTTCTCCCTGATTCCGAGGAGAGAACACACTGACCTGCCAAAGCTGACTGGTAAGAACTCCAGGAAAGCATCGTTCAGGTAGAGCTGCGTCAAACTCAGGAGCTGAGTGAAGCCTTCTGGGAGCCTAACATCACACAATTGAGAGCATCAATCACACAAAGTCTCCTAAAACCCAGTCCAACATCAGAATGCTGCGAAGTAAGACTCCAAGTGTGACATTCAGCTAAAATGTGCTCAGAAGGCTTTCACACTCACTTGGATATAGGATTGACGCTGGCTTCTACAACAGTCAGGACTTTGCAGTTCTTGATGTTTTCTGGAAACTCCTGGATACCTGGAGGGAAAACAAAATAATCAGTGACTTAAAAATATGAAGGGACACCAATCAAAACTAGATGCCACATAGAGGTAGCACACATGACCCCGCACATACCCAAAGAACCCATGTACCAGAACTCACATATGGGTTGTGGCTGTTTAGGATGGTCTGGTATTTATAAGAGAAGTGACTTTGGAATGGTCTTTACAATATATATATATATGTATATATATATATGATGCCTGGACAGTGTGATGTTCCCTACCCTCGTCCTCGAGGCCTACTACCTGCATGTTTTAGATGTTTCCCTGCTTTGGCACACCTGATTTTTAAGAATGGGTGACTAACAGGAACCTGAGAAGCTGCTAAAAAGCAGGAAAACAACAAAAACATGCATAGTGGGTCTCGAGGACCAGGGTAGGGAACCACTGCATTAAACCTTCTTTTTAACAGCGACAGAGAGAAGCACCAAACGGGTCATAAAGGGGAAAGAAACTAAAAAAAAGTCTGTTGAGTGATAGTTTGGAAGCTTTAACCAAACATTCACAATGTTTAAACTACGAGGAGGAGGAGATGACCGACTCAAGGTTTATTTCCTCTACTTTGTTTTGTGTCTACAACACTTAGCCTAAAGTGCTCTGAGGACAGGATGAGCTGCTTTTATTGTAAACACTAACATGATCTCTACTTTCTGAAGGAACAAAAAAAAAGCATACAATCCTAAAAGATATGGTTATTCTCAGCTGCCTCTGAACTCGTTCATTTCAGCACACTTTTCTCTGCAGAAATTAATGCTGACATGCATTAACCCTAACCGCTAATCTAACCAGTTGTTTGATGATACTGAAAGAATTTAAGCTGATAGTTTGTACTTTCTGGTTATTATAAGATGTATGTCTAAAAGAGATATTTTCAGGCATTTTTAAATGTTTCTGTGGGAAAGTTACAAATATTTAAAGAGATGGGTACCTGAAAGATATATAAGGTACCAACTATTTCTAAACAAGTGATCAAATTCAACTTAAACAAATGACCAGATTACTACTTTAATATCTTATCTGTACAGACAACCCTTTAAATGACCTCTCTTTTGAGAAATAGTCTGAAATGATTGATGAGCTCATGGCTAGTCTGAGCGGGGTCAAAACCTAGGTGGATTAATGTTGTTTTAAAACAACTTGGTCTCTAAACTTTCATAGAGGTTCTTACAATATTGTTTAAATCTATACCCCAATTACACATTACTATGGCAGAAAGTACACAAACTTTTAACAGGAAGTGCTACAGTTAGCTGCTGCTGCCAATGTGTGAGATTGGGTAAGTCAAATACAAGATTCTAGGACCATTTAAAAACAATTATGATTCTAACTGAAAACCTATACGAGGCACCAGCAATAAAAAAAAGGGTATTAAAAAATGTTTGTAATAAATTTGACTGTTTTTTCTTTTAAATACAAATTAAATCCAAATCATTTAAAAACTACAACAAAGGGAGAAACAGGATTATTCTGGTAGAAAAGAAGAAAATCTGTAAAACAATCTCCTCCTGACTGGACTGATGCATGATGGGAGATGTAGTTTTGTTACTGCACAACATGAAATTCTCTAAATGAACTACGAATTACTACAAACTACAAGTTATTGCTAACAGCACAAAACAACAACAAAACAAAACAAATAGAAGCGGTAAATTTGGTAAACTGTTATAAATGTTACCAATTATTTTAATGTTTAAGATAAACAAAGTTATCCTATTTACAAAGTGTTAAAATTTTTAAGACCTCTGAAAGATTGATTTAAGACATTTTAAGGCTAATTAAGGCCTTATTTTTGGATTGACGAAATCAATGCCTTTTAAGACTTTTTAAGGATCCGCGGGAACCCTGAAAAAGGAATGAATGTACAAACGTTCAGTCTGATTCTTTTAAAATGTATTTCATTACCTAAATTAGAAAATCTGGATTTAACATTTCAGGGTTTAAAATTGAGAATTTCAAATTTAATACTTTTTATAACTTCCAAATACCTTGCAGAAAGTGTTTATAAATGTTGTTTTGAGATGGTCGTAATCCACTTTGGTCTCCGTTCTGCATTTTAACCATTACCTCATTAATCCAGACCAAATTAAACTATTTCTCTAAACTGAGAAAGAACTGTCTAAAAGATATTTTTACTCCGAACCTTTCCACAAAACCTCATTCTGAATCATCTGAAATATCCATTTGAAAAACATCACTATGGTTTAAAATCACTTTGAACATTATAATCTGCATCCATACGAATTGTTGTTGGAGAAGGATTTAATGTGTTGTATTAATTACTGTTTGAGGAGTTTGAAGTGTTTTTTTTTTTGGTTTATCATTGTTTGAAATATTTGTTTGAAAAGGAGCCGATAAGAATTTTTTTCTTCTTCTGCTGCCTTTCATTTTGTTTTATTTTTATTGTTTTATTGTGTGAAATGTTTTGTTGGTTTGTTTTTTTAATGAAATGAATAAATAAACTAAAGAATTTGCATTTCCAGAGAAAATGCTAGTGTGAATGCCTCTTGCTATTAACTTTAGCTGACGTGTTCTTCAGCTAAGAAACAAACTGATGATGTCACTGATGATGTCACTAATTATGTCACTGATGATGTCACTTATGTGGCTGATGATGTCACTGATTATGTCACTGATTATGTCACTGATGGTGTCATTTATGTCACTAATGATGTCACTGATTATGTCACTGATGATGTCACTGATGATGTCACTTATGTCACTAATGATGTCACTGATGGTGTCGCTGATGATGTCACTTATGTGGTTGATGATGTCACTGATTATGTCACTGATGATGTCGCTTATGATGTCACTGATTATGTCACTGATGGCATCATCATCACCAAAATTGTAAAAATTGAAATAGCTAAAAAACTATAAAAAGTTAAGTTACTGAATGAATGAATGAATGAATGAACGAATGAATGAACGAATGAATGAATGAATGAATCCATTTTTGTTTTGTTTGTCCTATTTGCAGATTATTATTCTTTAAAAAGAAGTGGCAACAGTTATTATAAGATTTGTTTTATTTTTTTCTGCTGCCTTTCATTTTATCTGTGATTTGTATTTTTTATAGTACTGTATATAGAATTTATTTTCTTTTAAAGAAATGAATAAAATTAATAAACCAAACAGCTTCACTTTTTGCAGTATCAACTCTAAAAGTGGTGAAATCACACCTAGTACAATTAGAGCCTAAATCCAAGTAAAAACTTGTTTCAACAAAAGAAACTGGTCAATTTTTTTAAATCCCCATTTCACTTAGAAAGTGTCTGAAACCTGTCTGAACTTGTACATCCGTCGCATCAACGGTTTCTATCCAACCTGTGCTGTGACGCAACATCTGTTGAACCTGCTCTGACATTTTACCTCAGAAAATCTTTGCTGCCATCCTAAGGTGAAAACAAACGCAGCTGACGGAGCTGGGTAAACATTTGAACTGCACGGTCCACTGAAGCGCAGCAGGAGGTTCAAACTGCGTCAACCTGGTCTGATGCCAAAGTTCTATGCGACCTGACATTTAAAAACACTTTTCATCTTAGCCACATTTCTAGGGAAAGACAGGGACAGACATTAAAAACAAAACGTTATATTGCTTACTGTTTTTGCTGACATCAAGCTCCCTGAGGTTGATGAGGTTTGCAATCGCTGCCGGTAACACCGTCAGGTCATTATCTGGCATGCTCAGTCGCTGCAGTAACTGGCAGTTAAACAGTTGCTGGGGGGGAAAAAAACCAGCAAGTTGAACACTTAGCTCATCTATAATTATTTACGGTTATAATTTAGAGTGTAATACCACATATCCAACAGCAGTGGTGGGCAGCACTAACCCAAAAATTAGCTCTGCAATTTCTAAAGTGCTTATGAAAATATTTAGGTCGGCAACTTCAAAAACACTCATGCCATAGAAAAACTAGCAGAAGCTAATTTTAAAACACAAATTCAATTTGACACTTACTAGCTGGCAACAATTCATGTACAATATATGCATAACACTGCCAACTAGTGGTATATGAACTCTTGTACAGCTTAATCCTACAACCGCTGATTGCTGCGGATGTGATTTCCTGAAACAGACCTTTAGCTCCTGGTGTAAAAATTAAAAAGTTGTTGAGGATTGCTAGTTCGGCTGATTCTTTAAAAAGTTGTTGAGGATTGCTAGTTCGGCTGCTTCTTTGTCTTTTTCTTTTGTTTGTTGTAGATTTTTCATTAAAGAAGCATCAACAAAATAATTTTAAAACTGTTTATTGGAAAACTGAAGTGATGCATTCTGGGTACATGACAGATTTGATTTGTGATGGGAAACAAAATTTTTCCACGTAGTTGCTTCAGTTGACCACTAGATGTCTTTCTAACACCGTTGGCGGACTGCTTCGACCAATTACGTCAAGTATTGAGCTCCAGCGTTTAAACTTTTTTTTTCATTTAAAAAGTAGCTCTGATTTTAAAGTAAAATAAATCAATACATACAAAATTTTAGTATGGATTACAAACGTTAACTGTTTTTGCAGGGAAAGGGAGTTCTAAACACTGCCTTCCTGCTACGTAAGCAGACACAAAGCATTATGGGAAATGAGAACCATGACCCAAAGCAACAGTCAACAAGGATGTATACCTTCACAATAAGTGTGTTTATCTGGGAGGGGTGCTGTTGGATAGATCACGTGTTGTGATTCATTGACAGCCATACTTTCCACTGTTCAAGATAATGATGACTGGTAGATAATTAGTTATTAGCGGTACTGCATTTTAATTTTAGAAAGTGCAAACCCGCTTATGAATAATAAAAATTAGTAAGACCGCTAAAGTGTAAATTAAATATTTAGGTCCGCAATTAGTGGATTTGCGCTTTAGCGGAGTGGTGCCCACCACTATCCAACAGTCATGTTTGTATAAAAAAAAAGTTCAAATTGGTTATACTTCTGAAAAAAAAAACCAAGTTAAATAAACAAATCCTATATAAATAATAGGAATTATGTTTTTACAGGTAATATTAATTAATTTAGACCTTAAATTTTTTTCTTAACAAATGAGCTTGGATAAAATATGTATGCATCTTACTTTAGGCAGTTCCTCGATCTGGTTGGCATCGAGGAAGAGTTCCTGCAGGGTCTTCTCAAAGCTGAAGATCTCCTTAGGAACCGTCTCCAGGCTGCTGTGGGAGTAGTCCAGCGATGTCACCGCCTCCTCCTCGCCCCGCAAGCAGCGGCACGGCACCAGGCGAACAAACAAACTCCGCTTGGACATCCTCAGGGACTATGGGGGGGAAAATGTACATAAAATATATAAGATATTTATTTTGTGCTTGGCTTAAAGTTTTTCCTCCGTTTCCTACTTTTTTCTTTTTGCAGTGTAAAACAACCTAATTCAAACTGCATTTTTTGGGGGGGAAAACACAAACTGAGAAAAAAAACTAATTTTCTCCTCTATTTCAGTTTTCAAAGACAATCAGGGAAAACTTTCTATGTTTACTCCCGGATGGCTCCTTGTGCATGAGTGGTTGATTTCTGATAAACATACATTTCCTGGAAAGTTGTACAAGTTTGCCCTTCTTTTCCTGTTGGGCTCTGCTGCTGCAGTACACCGCACCTCTGAACTGTTAATGTATTAAAACAGACAACACTTATAAATATTCTCTGTAGTTTCTGAGATTTTGTTTCATGTGATATTTCAAATTTTTGGAAACTAAACCTGAGAAGCAAAAAAATAAATAAAAAATAGAAAAATCAGTGGCCTCTACAGCATTCCTGCAGTATCTTATTTATATCAGCCTTGTGGTTGTGTGGCACTTAGCCAGCATGTCTCAAAGGAGGTGATGAGTGACTTCATGCTCACACTTCTTTCAACGAGCAACGTCATTTGCACATAGAAAAAGCCGAACACTGACAGTGAGTCACCACTGGGTGAATGAACACTTTAAAAAAAATGACTGAGATATTTAAAAATCAATAATAAAACAGACATATGTACGTGTCGGTTTTATCTGAGTTTTTAACGACTTCATCAAACCTACGAGAGGTTTAGCTTTTCCTGATCACAGCTCACTCTCTCCTCCAGTTATAAACCTCTGGCAGAACTCCTGACCACAATAAAACAGTTTTAATGTTAAACCTAAGCAGCCTAATAATGTCTCTATGTAATGAGGGTATACTATGTGTATAAGTTTGTTATTCATGTCTTGCTGCAGTTTTGTTGTCAACAAGCAGACTCACATGTGCTACATTCCAGCAGAGATTAATAGAATTTCATGATCTTCCATACAAACCATATTTCTTATCTTATGGTTAAACGCTTTGGTATTTTTTTTGGCTGTACCTTATATTTTTACTGTGAATCTAGTGTGAATCTAGACTAAACTTTTCTGCAGTTAAATTACTTGCGATTAAAATCTAAAAATATTGTTTTTTATTATTTTTTCTTTGTGGTAAATAAAAAATAAAGAAAAGGTTAGAATAGCTGGTTTCAGTCACGTGCTTTCGATGGCGGAGCGATCTCCGCTGGAGGGCAGGGGGTAAAATGTCTATGGAGGAAACTACTGTAGAGAGTCTTTATTGTATGGATTTATGTCCTATTTCAAGATATATAACAACAATTTGTTCACAAATATGTCAGACATGACTCGTATGATGAAGATAAATGAGTTTTTGACAGAACCTAAAGATCTGCTGAGGCTGTCGGTGCCACACATGTCTTACATCACCAGGTGACAAATAATAACCAGCAAAAGTTTATCTGATGAATAATTCCACACATTCTGCCCAACCCTATAACAACATATGATAACACTGATCATCACACAAAGATGAAAAATGTAGAAAGCTCACAGAACGACAACGTAAGAAGTGGATTTTAAACCGTCTGCGGTGGGGAGGAGCAGAAGGCCAGTGTCTGCAGCATCACTTCATTCAGAGGTTGTTAGCTGCTAACTTGTTTTAGAGGTTATGTTTATAATGATCGTTTATTTAATAGTGAGTATTAAGTTACTGGCAGCACGGTGGCTCAGTTGGTAGAGCTGATGCCTCTCAGCAAGAAGGTCACCGGTTCAAATCCTGGTCTGGGGACCTTTCTGGGTAGAGTTTGCATGTTCTCTCCATGCATGCGTGGGTTCTCTCCGGGTACTCCGGCTTCCTCCCACAGACCAAAAACATGACTGTTAGGTTAATTGATAACTCTAAATTGTCCCTAGGTGTGAGTGAAAGAGTGAATGGTTGTTTGTCTCGTTTGTCTCTATGTGTGGCCCTGTGATGGACTTGCGACCTGTCCAGGGTGTACCCCGCCCCTCGCACTGTTACTGCTGGATATGGGCACCAGTGACCCACACAACCCTGAAAAGGAAGAAGCGTGTACAGAAAATGGATGGATGGATATTAAGTTACTGGTAGTTTAATGTGGACCTCATCTGGACTTTAGGCTGCCCTAGTTCTGTGTCGTTAGGTGCCGGAAGTTTGTTGGCGTTAGCAGCTATTGTAGCATTATCTTAACATATAAAACAATATCAGAACAAACACTCATCCTGGCAAAAAACAAACGATAATCATCGTGGAGCTGTTTGGTACCGAGGTTGTGGATCCACCTGCTGAATAAAAAGTTCTACACCTCCCGTTGTTTACGTGCTTTCATCAGCTGTTCGGTGTAGTTAGCATTCAGTTAGCACCGCACCGTCTGCCCCGGCAGACCGGTAACGGGACCGTAGGGTCCGCTCGGTGCTCGATCTTCTTCTCTTCCCTCTTATAATCTAAATAGTGAATCACCTAGATCCTCATCAAAGTCCTCACTCTGTCTCCGACTGTTTTTCCTCCATCTCTGCCTTTGAGCTCCTCTCTCAAGCTGCGGCTCGGTCCGACTCGGTCCACCTGTCCACAGCTGGACTGGAGCTCCATGTTCATTGCCTTTTTTTTTTTTTTTTGCATCAAAGACACTAAAATAACTAACTAAACTTCACCGTAACTATGAAATATAGTTATACAAATATAATAAATGTAATAAATTTCAGATATCTCATTGCTGACTTTGGATCGCTCTCTCTCCATCGCAGCCGAACTTTATTCAACTTCCGCCTTTTTTTATTTTTATCCTCCTGTAGATTTTTTGCAGCTTGTCGAATATTTTTAGTCTTCAGTCAGAAAGGAGTTTGGGGGGATTAGGTTTGTTCGGCGGGGTGGGGGTGACACCAGAGGGTGGAATGAGGTGTTTTTCCCCCATGAATGAACCCTTTTTTACATCCTCCTGCTGCAACGTGCTTCAAATATGACAAACATTAATAAAAAGAGTCATAATTTAATTTAATTTAATATATAATTTAATCAGTGTATAATTATTTATTATTCATTCAGTTAGAATGAGTGGAGCACTCGTAAACTACACAAGATATGGGCATTTTTCCAGATAGAAGATCCTCCATTTTTTCACTTTCGACCTCCATCCGAACTTCGCGCTCTAGTGGCGCTGCATCGTGACGTCACGTGAAACCCTCCTATTCGATGCCAAAGCATCGGCTGGTATGTCTCTGCCTGCCATAGACTTGTCTGCATTTAAAGCACTGGACATGCAGTTACCTGTTGACTATTTTTGGACTTAAATAGTCTAAGAAGTATGTAACTATATCAACAAAGTCTAAACATGACTTCCTCTTTGATATTTACCACATCATTAATTTCAGTGACCAACCACTTATGTGTACCATCCATCATAATGGGATTCAGGCAACAAAGATCACTTTGCCTGACCTTCAGCTTTGACCCCAAAATGTTTTCAGACCTCCGCTGGGCCAAGAACAATTATGTTAATTTGGGCTGAAATCAATAGCTCCATTCAGGAGGTACAGTGCACACACAGCAGTGTGAGCGACAGAATTTTGCACCAGGTAACGCTCAGACGGACAAGCAGAGAGCAATATACCTCCTCAGGGTGGAGGCACAAAAAAATAAAATAAAACTTGTGAAGAAAATGAATGTTGTAAAGAAGGTTACATGTTTTTACATTGTTATAGCCTCAGTCTGAGGTCAATAAAGAGATTTCCAGCAAGTACAGTAACAAAATATGGACTATGTCCTGGTCAACAACGGCTTTGTTCACTGGAGCATGTAGGGAATGTGACTTTTCAACCCCCTCAACTTAATCTGAGCTCTGCCACAGCTCATAATCTGAGTGCGTTTCATTCACTTCAAGTCTTGACCCCACAACTTAACTGTAATATTGTGATGGCCTTTCCCGAAACTAGAAAGCATGGTGTAAGAAAATTACTGCAATAAACCAGGCTGAACACTGCTTTATTTTTGATGTGCTAACATGTGATTAATTTTGCCTGCACAGTTTTAGGGAAAAATCAACCCAGTTCTGTTTACATATTAATGACGTTTCCAAGAACAGCTCCTTCAGAGTCTGTCTAAAGTTCTCACAAATGAAGAGCAGTCAGCAGTTCCCTCTATTTCCATACGTACGCACACACAAACGCCCACACTCGAGGTATGCACAACCAAGTGGCTGTCAGCCTCCCACGCAGCCATTGCCACAGAAGCAGTCATCTCATGTATAAATACTCTATCACCAGAGGGGCTGACAGAGAGCTTGGCTCCATTAACCCTGAGTAAAGATGACGCAGGTTATGTCGAGTGGGAGGAGAGGGGTGGACTGGAAGGAGACAAGAGCGCAACATGGCTTAGCAGACAAAGGCTGTAGTTGTGGGTTATCATGAGGTATGCAAGAAAAAGCAATGGGACGAATAACAGAAGCTGTCATGGGAAATGGGTGTAACTTACAGAGCTAAGAGCAAAGTAGTAAAGGGCACACAAAAGATGATAATAACTGTGCAGAACATGTTAAAACTCGCAGACAAATCATTCAGAAGTAAAGGATGGATTTTGAATGATCTGACTTAGTGACATTGTGATGGCTTTAGAATAAATGAGATGCTGCAGCTACTCTGGAAAGTACTAAGCTGTGACTCTGTATGGTTGTGTGAAACAAGATAACGTTTGTCATGTTAGAGAAAGTTAAAGTACATAAAAGGCTGATAAGAACGTATACTGTTTACACAGGTTAATAATAAAATAGTCCAGATCTTGATTTTCTTTTTGTCCCAAGTAGAAATGTAGAACGATTCATGCATTTTCCATTAGAACACACTGCCAAGTTCCTGGAGTACATGCTAGAATGTGCACACTGCAGTCAAACACCATTTCACTCATTTTCAACCTTAATCCTTGAATTATCCTGTTTGTACATGAAAATGTTCATTTTCTTGTCTAAGATGCACA